CATGTGGCGAGAAGAGAATGATAATTTAATAAAATGAAATGAATCAGTAGCCTACATGGGGACTTGAACCCCAGACCCTCAGATTACTTGTTTGGGAATTATTTCTTAAAAGTCTGATGCTCTACCGACTGAGCTATGCAGGCTGCTTGGGCTAAACATCTTACATTCGGAACAATTGTTTAACACAGCCACTGAAATGAAAAATAACTTGCTTTGTTCGAGCTAGTTTCAAGTCAACGCATCTCACGGCAACGTCTACCAGTGGAAGTTTAAGTCCGATGACTTTTCCCTGCAGACGAGTTTCTTCCCTTTATTCAATTTCATTGTTAACTGTTTTGTTCGTTAGTTAGTTAGTTAGTTAGTTAGTTAGTTTGTGAGAGACAGACAGACAGACATATAGCTAGCGAGATATGCAGCTGTCTAGATGGTTTTCAGTTGATTACACAAATGTAAATTTTAAAAAATTCGTCGCCGATAGGATTCGAACCTATGCGGGGAAACCCCAATGGATTTCTAGTCCATCGCCTTAACCTCTCGGCCACGACGACATATCTACGCCACTTTTTCTTTATTTCTTTAGCCGTTACTCTGCAAGCAGCCAGTCAGAAGTTACGCATGTGGCGAGAAGAGAATGATAATTTAATAAAATGAAATGAATCAGTAGCCTACATGAGGACTTGAACCCCAGACCCTCAGATTACTTGTTTGGGAATTATTTCTTAAAAGTCTGATGCTCTACCGACTGAGCTATGCAGGCTGCTTGGGCTAAACATCTTACATTCGGAACAATTGTTTAACACAGCCACTGAAATGAAAAATAACTTGCTTTGTTCGAGCTAGTTTCAAGTCAACGCATCTCACGGCAACGTCTACCAGTGGAAGTTTAAGTCCGATGACTTTTCCCTGCAGACGAGTTTCTTCCCTTTATTCAATTTCATTGTTAACTGTTTTGTTCGTTAGTTAGTTAGTTAGTTAGTTAGTTAGTTACAGACAGACAGACAGATATAGCTAGCTAGCGAGATATGCAGCTGTCTAGATGGTTTTCAGTTGATTACACAAATGTAAATTTTAAAAAATTCGTCGCCGATAGGATTCGAACCTATGCGGGGAAACCCCAATGGATTTCTAGTCCATCGCCTTAACCTCTCGGCCACGACGACATATCTACGCCACTTTTTCTTTATTTTTCTTTAGCCGTTACTCTGCAAGCAGCCAGTCAGAAGTTACGCATGTGGCGAGAAGAGAATGATAATTTAATAAAAATGAAATGAATCAGTAGCCTACATGGGGACTTGAACCCCAGACCCTCAGATTACTTGTTTGGGAATTATTTCTTAAAAGTCTGATGCTCTACCGACTGAGCTATGCAGGCTGCTTGGGCTAAACATCTTACATTCGGAACAATTGTTTAACACAGCCACTGAAATGAAAAATAACTTGCTTTGTTCGAGCTAGTTTCAAGTCAACGCATCTCACGGCAACGTCTACCAGTGGAAGTTTAAGTCCGATGACTTTTCCCTGCAGACGAGTTTCTTCCCTTTATTCAATTTCATTGTTAACTGTTTTGTTCGTTAGTTAGTTAGTTAGTTAGTTAGTTAGTGACAGACAGACAGACATATAGCTAGCGAGATATGCAGCTGTCTAGATGGTTTTCAGTTGATTACACAAATGTAAATTTTAAAAAATTCGTCGCCGATAGGATTCGAACCTATGCGGGGAAACCCCAATGGATTTCTAGTCCATCGCCTTAACCTCTCGGCCACGACGACATATCTACGCCACTTTTTCTTTATTTCTTTAGCCGTTACTCTGCAAGCAGCCAGTCAGAAGTTACGCATGTGGCGAGAAGAGAATGATAATTTAATAAAATGAAATGAATCAGTAGCCTACATGGGGGGACTTGAACCCCAGACCCTCAGATTACTTGTTTGGGAATTATTTCTTAAAAGTCTGATGCTCTACCGACTGAGCTATGCAGGCTGCTTGGGCTAAACATCTTACATTCGGAACAATTGTTTAACACAGCCACTGAAATGAAAAATAACTTGCTTTGTTCGAGCTAGTTTCAAGTCAACGCATCTCACGGCAACGTCTACCAGTGGAAGTTTAAGTCCGATGACTTTTCCCTGCAGACGAGTTTCTTCCCTTTATTCAATTTCATTGTTAACTGTTTTGTTCGTTAGTTAGTTAGTTAGTTAGTTAGTTAGTGACAGACAGACAGACATATAGCTAGCGAGATATGCAGCTGTCTAGATGGTTTTCAGTTGATTACACAAATGTAAATTTTAAAAAAATTCGTCGCCGATAGGATTCGAACCTATGCGGGGAAACCCCAATGGATTTCTAGTCCATCGCCTTAACCTCTCGGCCACGACGACATATCTACGCCACTTTTTCTTTATTTCTTTAGCCGTTACTCTGCAAGCAGCCAGTCAGAAGTTACGCATGTGGCGAGAAGAGAATGATAATTTAATAAAAATGAAATGAATCAGTAGCCTACATGGGGACTTGAACCCCAGACCCTCAGATTACTTGTTTGGGAATTATTTCTTAAAAGTCTGATGCTCTACCGACTGAGCTATGCAGGCTGCTTGGGCTAAACATCTTACATTCGGAACAATTGTTTAACACAGCCACTGAAATGAAAAATAACTTGCTTTGTTCGAGCTAGTTTCAAGTCAACGCATCTCACGGCAACGTCTACCAGTGGAAGTTTAAGTCCGATGACTTTTCCCTGCAGACGAGTTTCTTCCCTTTATTCAATTTCATTGTTAACTGTTTTGTTCGTTAGTTAGTTAGTTAGTTAGTTAGTTACAGACAGACAGACATTAGCGAGATATGCAGCTGTCTAGATGGTTTTCAGTTGATTAGTAAATTTTAAAAAATTCGTCGCCGATACAGACAACCTCTCGACACGACATATCTACGCCACTTTTTCTTTATTTCTTTAGCCGTTACTCTGCAAGCAGAGATATGCAGCAGTGTCTAGATGGTTTTCAAAAGTTGATTACACAAATGTAAAACATTTTAAAAAATTCGTCGCCGATAAGGATTCGAACGTCTATGGAAGTTTAAGTCCGGGCAGAAATTCCCTGTTTTGTTCAATGGATTTTAGTAGTCCATCGCCTTGGTTTTCAACCAAATCTAAATTTTAAAAAATTCGTCGCCGATAGGATTCGAACCTATGCGGGGAAACCCCAATGGATTTCTAGTCCATCGCCTTAACCTCTCGGCCACGACGACATATCTACGCCACTTTTTCTTTTTATTCTTTAGCCGTTACTCTGCAAGCAGCCAGTCAGAAGTTACGCATGTGGCGAGAAGAGAATGATAATTTAATAAAAATGAAATGAATCAGTAGCCTACATGGGGACTTGAACCCCAGACCCTCAGATTACTTGTTTGGGAATTATTTCTTAAAAGTCTGATGCTCTACCGACTGAGCTATGCAGGCTGCTTGGGCTAAACATCTTACATTCGGAACAATTGTTTAACACAGCCACTGAAATGAAAAATAACTTGCTTTGTTCGAGCTAGTTTCAAGTCAACGCATCTCACGGCAACGTCTACCAGTGGAAGTTTAAGTCCGATGACTTTTCCCTGCAGACGAGTTTCTTCCCTTTATTCAATTTCATTGTTAACTGTTTTGTTCGTTAGTTAGTTAGTTAGTTAGTTAGTGACAGACAGACAGACAGACATATAGCTAGCGAGATATGCAGCTGTCTAGATGGTTTTCAGTTGATTACTACAAATGTAAATTTTAAAAAATTCGTCGCCGATAGGATTCGAACCTATGCGGGGAAACCCCAATGGATTTCTAGTCCATCGCCTTAACCTCTCGGCCACGACGACATATCTACGCCACTTTTTCTTTATTTCTTTAGCCGTTACTCTGCAAGCAGCCAGTCAGAAGTTACGCATGTGGCGAGAAGAGAATGATAATTTAATAAAAATGAAATGAATCAGTAGCCTACATGGGGACTTGAACCCCAGACCCTCAGATTACTTGTTTGGGAATTATTTCTTAAAAGTCTGATGCTCTACCGACTGAGCTATGCAGGCTGCTTGGGCTAAACATCTTACATTCGGAACAATTGTTTAACACAGCCACTGAAATGAAAAATAACTTGCTTTGTTCGAGCTAGTTTCAAGTCAACGCATCTCACGGCAACGTCTACCAGTGGAAGTTTAAGTCCGATGACTTTTCCCTGCAGACGAGTTTCTTCCCTTTATTCAATTTCATTGTTAACTGTTTTGTTCGTTAGTTAGTTAGTTAGTTAGTTAGTTAGTTACAGACAGACAGACATATAGCTAGCGAGATATGCAGCTGTCTAGATGGTTTTCAGTTGATTACAAAATGTAAATTTTAAAAAATTCGTCGCCGATAGGATTCGAACCTATGCGGGAAACCCCAATGGATTTCTAGTCCATCGCCTTAACCTCTCGGCCACGACGACATATCTACGCCACTTTTTCTTTTATTTTTTAGCCGTTACTCTGCAAGCAGCCAGTCAGAAGTTACGCATGTGGCGAAAGAGAATTAATTTAATAAAAATGAAATGAATCAGTAGCCTACATGGGGACTTGAACCCCAGACCCTCAGATTACTTGTTTGGGAATTATTTCTTAAAAGTCTGATGCTCTACCGACTGAGCTATGCAGGCTGCTTGGGCTAAACATCTTACATTCGGAACAATTGTTTAACACAGCCACTGAAATGAAAAATAACTTGCTTTGTTCGAGCTAGTTTCAAGTCAACGCATCTCGGCAACGTCTACCAGTGGAAGTTTAAGTCCGATGATTTTCCCTGCAGACGAGTTTCTTCCCTTTATTCAATTTCATTGTTAACTGTTTTGTTTGTTTTAGTTAGTTAGTTAGTTAGTTAGTTAGTGACAGACAGACAGACATTAGCTAGCGAGATATGCAGCTGTCTAGATGGTTTTCAGTTGATTACACAAATGTAAATTTTAAAAAATTCGTCGCCGATAGGATTCGAACCTATGCGGGGAAACCCCAATGGATTTCTAGTCCATCGCCTTAACCTCTCGGCCACGACGACATATCTACGCCACTTTTTCTTTATTTCTTTAGCGTTACTCTGCAAGCAGCCAGTCAGAAGTTACGCATGTGGCGAAAGAGAATGATAATTTAATAAAAATGAAATGAATCAGTAGCCTACATGGGGACTTGAACCCCAGACCCTCAGATTACTTGTTTGGGAATTATTTCTTAAAAGTCTGATGCTCTACCGACTGAGCTATGCAGGCTGCTTGGGCTAAACATCTTACATTCGAACAATTGTTTAACACAGCCACTGAAATGAAAAATAACTTGCTTTGTTCGAGCTAGTTTCAAGTCAACGCATCTCACGGCAACGTCTACCAGTGGAAGTTTAAGTCCGATGACTTTTCCCTGCAGACGAGTTTCTTCCCTTTATTCAATTTCATTGTTAACTGTTTTTCGTTCGTTAGTTAGTTAGTTAGTTAGTTAGTTAGTGACAGACAGACAGACATATAGCTAGCGAGATATGCAGCTGTCTAGATGGTTTTCAGTTGATTACACAAATGTAAATTTTAAAAAATTCGTCGCCGATAGGATTCGAACCTATGCGGGGAAACCCCAATGGATTTCTAGTCCATCGCCTTAACCTCTCGGCCACGACGACATATCTACGCCACTTTTTCTTTATTTCTTTAGCCGTTACTCTGCAAGCAGCCAGTCAGAAGTTACGCATGTGGCGAGAAGAGAATGATAATTTAATAAAAATGAAATGAATCAGTAGCCTACATGGGGACTTGAACCCCAGACCCTCAGATTACTTGTTTGGGAATTATTTCTTAAAAGTCTGATGCTCTACCGACTGAGCTATGCAGGCTGCTTGGGCTAAACATCTTACATTCGGAACAATTGTTTAACACAGCCACTGAAATGAAAAATAACTTGCTTTGTTCGAGCTAGTTTCAAGTCAACGCATCTCACGGCAACGTCTACCAGTGGAAGTTTAAGTCCGATGACTTTTCCCTGCAGACGAGTTTCTTCCCTTTATTCAATTTCATTGTTAACTGTTTTGTTCGTTAGTTAGTTAGTTAGTTAGTTAGTTAGTGACAGACAGACAGACATATAGCTAGCGAGATATGCAGCTGTCTAGATGGTTTTCAGTTGATTACACAAATGTAAATTTTAAAAAATTCGTCGCCGATAGGATTCGAACCTATGCGGGGAAACCCCAATGGATTTCTAGTCCATCGCCTTAACCTCTCGGCCACGACGACATATCTACGCCACTTTTTCTTTATTTCTTTAGCCGTTACTCTGCAAGCAGCCAGTCAGAAGTTACGCATGTGGCGAGAAGAGAATGATAATTTAATAAAAATGAAATGAATCAGTAGCCTACATGGGGACTTGAACCCCAGACCCTCAGATTACTTGTTTGGGAATTATTTCTTAAAAGTCTGATGCTCTACCGACTGAGCTATGCAGGCTGCTTGGGCTAAACATCTTACATTCGGAACAATTGTTTAACACAGCCACTGAAATGAAAAATAACTTGCTTTGTTCGAGCTAGTTTCAAGTCAACGCATCTCACGGCAACGTCTACCAGTGGAAGTTTAAGTCCGATGACTTTTCCCCTGCAGACGAGTTTCTTCCCTTTATTCAATTTCATTGTTAACTGTTTTGTTCGTTAGTTAGTTAGTTAGTTAGTTAGTTAGTTAGTGACAGACAGACAGACATATAGCTAGCGAGATATGCAGCTGTCTAGATGGTTTTCAGTTGATTACACAAATGTAAATTTTAAAAAAATTCGTCGCCGATAGGATTCGAACCTATGCGGGGAAACCCCAATGGATTTCTAGTCCATCGCCTTAACCTCTCGGCCACGACGACATATCTACGCCACTTTTTTTTTATTTCTTTAGCCGTTACTCTGCAAGCAGCCAGTCAGAAGTTACGCATGTGGCGAGAAGAGAATGATAATTTAATAAAAATGAAATGAATCAGTAGCCTACATGGGGACTTGAACCCCAGACCCTCAGATTACTTGTTTGGGAATTATTTCTTAAAAGTCTGATGCTCTACCGACTGAGCTATGCAGGCTGCTTGGGCTAAACATCTTACATTCGGAACAATTGTTTAACACAGCCACTGAAATGAAAAAATAACTTGCTTTGTTCGAGCTAGTTTCAAGTCAACGCATCTCACGGCAACGTCTACCAGTGGAAGTTTAAGTCCGATGACTTTTCCCTGCAGACGAGTTTCTTCCCTTTATTCAATTTCATTGTTAACTGTTTTGTTCGTTAGTTAGTTAGTTAGTTAGTTAGTTAGTTAGTGACAGACAGACAGACATATAGCTAGCGAGATATGCAGCTGTCTAGATGGTTTTCAGTTGATTACACAAATGTAAATTTTAAAAAAATTCGTCGCCGATAGGATTCGAACCTATGCGGGGAAACCCCAATGGATTTCTAGTCCATCGCCTTAACCTCTCGGCCACGACGACATATCTACGCCACTTTTTTTTTTATTTCTTTAGCCGTTACTCTGCAAGCAGCCAGTCAGAAGTTACGCATGTGGCGAGAAGAAATGATAATTTAATAAAATGAAATGAATCAGTAGCCTACATGGGGACTTGAACCCCAGACCCTCAGATTACTTGTTTGGGAATTATTTCTTAAAAGTCTGATGCTCTACCGACTGAGCTATGCAGGCTGCTTGGGCTAAACATCTTACATTCGGAACAATTGTTTAACACAGCCACTGAAATGAAAAATAACTTGCTTTGTTCGAGCTAGTTTCAAGTCAACGCATCTCACGGCAACGTCTACCAGTGGAAGTTTAAGTCCGATGACTTTTCCCTGCAGACGAGTTTCTTCCCTTTATTCAATTTCATTGTTAACTGTTTTGTTCGTTAGTTAGTTAGTTAGTTAGTTAGTTAGTGACAGACAGACAGACAGACATATAGCTAGCGAGATATGCAGCTGTCTAGATGGTTTTCAGTTGATTACACAAATGTAAATTTTAAAAAATTCGTCGCCGATAGGATTCGAACCTATGCGGGGAAACCCCAATGGATTTCTAGTCCATCGCCTTATATTCTTCATTTTTCCTTCCACCATTTCCATTCTTTCTTGTTCCTTATTTTTATTTTCTTCATTTTATTCTTCTTTTTCCTTCCCCCATTTCCAATTTTCCTTGTCCTTCTTCATGTCATTTTATTCTTTCTTTTCCTTCCCCCATTTTCATGTCATTTTATTCTTCCCTGTTATTTTCCTTCCTCCCCATTTGCATTGTTTCTTGTTCCCTTTCTGATTTACTTTCTTTTCATGTCCATGTATTCTTCTTTTTTCCTTCCGCCATTTCCATTCTTTCCTTGTTCCTTCTTCAGATTTACTTTCCTGTCATTTATTCTTTCTTTTTTCCTTCCCCATTTTCATTCTTTTCTTGTTTCTTCTTCATATTTACTTTTTCCTGTCATTTTATTCTTCTTTTTTCCTTCCATTTGCATTGTTTCTGTTCCTTCTTCAGATTTACTTTTTCATGTCCATGTATTTTCTTTCCTTTTCCTTTCCTCCATTTATTCTTTCTTTGTTCCTTATTCACATTTACTTTTCCTGTCATTTTTATTCTTCCTTTTTCTTCCTCCATTTTCATTCTTTCTGTTCCTTTCTCAGATATTTACTTTTTTCCATGTTTCCATGTATTCTTCTTTTTTTCTTTCCTCCACCTTTCCATTTTATTCTCCTTTTTCCTTCCCCATTTCTTCTTTTCTTTTGTTTTTCATATTTACTTTTTCCTGTCATTTATTCTTCTTTTTTCATTCCTCCATTTGCATTGTTTCTTGTTCCTTTCTCAAGTTTACTTTTCATGTCCATGTATTCCTTCTTTCCTTCCCCCATTTCCATTGTTTCTTTTCTTTCTTTCTTTCAGATTTACTTTTCCATGTCCATTTATTGTTTTTTTTCCTTCCCATTTTCATTCTTTCCTTTGTTCCTTTCTCAGATTTATTTTTTCTGTCCATTTTATTCTTTCTTTCCTTCCCCATTTCCATTATTTTTTTTTTTTTGTTTCTTCTTTAGATTTACTTTCCTGTCATTTTATTGTTCTTTTTTCCTTCCCCCATTTCCATTCTTTTCTTTGTTTCTTCTTCATATTTACTTTTCCTGTCATTTTATTCTTCTTTTTTTCTTTCCCCATTTCATTCTTTTTTTTTGTTTCTTCTTCAGATTTACATTTCCTGTCATTTATTCTTCCCTTTTCCTTTCTCCATTTCCATTCTTTTCCTTTGTCCTTCTTCAGATTTACATTTCCTGTCATTTTATTCTTCCTTTTCCTTCCTCCATTTGCATTGTTTCTTGTTCCTTTCTCAGATTTACTTTTCATGTCCATGTATTCTTCTTTTCCTTCCTCCATTTCCATTCTTTCCTTGTTCCTTCCTTTCTCTGTCATTTATTCTCCTTTTTCCTTTCCTCATTTCCATTCTTTTCTTCTTTCCTTCTTCATTTACATTACTGTTATTTTATTTCTTTCTTTTTCCTTTTTTTCCATTTGGTATTGTTTTCTGTTCTTTTCTCAGATTTTACTTTTTCATGTCCATGTATTCTTCTTTTTCCTTTCCCCCCCATTTCCATTCTTTTTCTTTTTTTCTTTCTTCTTCAGATTTACTTTCTTCCTGTCATTTTATTGTCTCTTTTTTTCCTTCCCCATTTTCATTCTTTTCCTTGTTCCTTCTTTTCCAGATTTATATTTCATGTCATTTATTCTTCTTTTTCCCATTCCATTTGCATTGCTTCTTTTTCCCCCTTCCCCCCCCCTTTCCATTTTTTTTTTTTTTTTTCCCCCCCCTTCCCCCCCCTTTTTTTTTTTTTTTCCTTCCCCCCTCATCCTTTTTTTTTTTTCCCTTTCCTTTTCCGATTTTTCTTTTTCTTTTTTCCTTTTTTTTTTTTTTCCCCTTTCCCCCCCTTTTTTTCCCCTTTTTTTTCCCCCCCCATCCATGTTTTTTTTTTTTTTCCCTTCCCCCTTTTCCATTTTTTTTTTTTCCTTTCCCCCACCCATGATTTTTTTTTTCCCCCTTCCCCCTCCATGACTTTTTTTTTTTTCCCTTCCCCCCCTTTTCCCTTACCCCTTTTTTTTTCCCCCTTTCTTTTTTTTTTTTCCCCCCTCTCTCTTTCTTTTTTCTTTTTTCCCTTCCTCCCTCCACCCATTTCTTTTTTTTTTTTTCCCTTTCCCTTTTCTTTTTTTTTTCCCCTTCCCCCCCCTTTTTTCTTTTTTTCTTTTTTTTTTTTTTTTCCCCT